TGTGTGTGTGTGTGTGTGTGTGTGTGTGTGTGTGTGTGTGTGTGTGTTTGTGATAGTTCACAAATTGCAGGAGTATGTATGTCTCTGTCCTCCACTACTGTGTAACGGTTGCAAATTGTGCGGCTGCAATTTCCTGAGTGCAGTACGCTACGCTCGCTCGCTTTGTCCTCTTATGTGCAGATGAATAGGCAGCTCCTCAGCTGTGATGAGAGCCTGCAACTGCATCTTCTGTGTGTGTGTGTGTGTGTGTGTGTGTGTGTGTGTGTGTGTGTGTGTGTGTGTGTGTGTGTGTGTCAGTGTGTGTTTCATTGTATATTCATATACTCATGGGGAGTGTATCAGTTTTGAGTTGTGTGTGCCGGTGTGTAATTGTTCTGCCACACTCTAATAACCATGTGGTCTCACATATATTTTGTCTGTCCACTTTTTCCCAGTCTAATCTGTTCTCCATTTTTCAGTCTGTCCGTCTCTGCCCACCTCTCTGTTTCACTCTCTAACAGACGGCACCTGTATAGGACCTGGCTCTATACTCCTGATGACCTAACTATATAATCTGCTTGCTCGGCGAAAGTGATCCGATCAATCCTCCTCACACGCAACACACTGTGCGTGTTTGTGTGTGTATTAACGCAGGCCCAAAATTGTGATTGTATCTTACTCATAACTTAGCTATCATATTTTTCTGAATTCTGTGGGTTTTATTTTTGACGAATCTACAAAAATGAATAAGGTAACAATACTGTATCTCAAAACCCTTTTACTGTGTTTTTCCACCTTAAAACATGATACATTTCACCTATTCTCTTGTCTCTGTCCATATTTATGTGTATATAAATCACATCATCCTTTTGCATGGCCTGGTTGGCTTTGTAGCTGTGCGCTGGGATAAAAAGAGGTCATGGCTGGCACTCAGATGGCGGCTGGCCCTAAGAACTCTAGCTGGACTAGCTGGACGCCCCGCTGCTGGCCCAGTGGTAAACCTCTGCTACATCCTAAATCCCTTCACACACACAGGCACTGCAAGCATTCCCTCACACTAACTATCCCATTTTCTTGCTACAATCTAGCCTGTAAGTGTGAGCCACAACTGGATGCACACAGGGAACCTTCATATATTCTCCGTCACGGTGTCAGTCTCATAACCATAGCCTACTTATGGCTGACCCTAAGGACCCTGTTGGCCCCAGACATGAGGGACACTGCCACCACCTCAATAAAGCCTGAATAAACCTCTAAACCCCGATAGCCTCCCGTCAATGTACTGACTGTAAGCTGCTACTGTTATCCCTTTATATCCTCTGAGACATGTTGTGAAACAATATGGGCCCAGATCCATTTCCCCATCTCTTCAAACTGCTGGCTTTGAATGATTTAGCCCATACACTACGTCAAATGTACTTTACCCATGCCATTTCCCCAAGCACACAGTACAGTCAGTGAGCACAATCATCAGCCAGTTGCTGTGTTTTCTTTGTGGTGCATTCAAGTACGCTACAACAACTCTCTTTGTTGGGTAGTTCAGCCCAACGTCATATTTCAACAGTTACCAAGGAGAATAAACATTTTAATCAATAACAAGTAAAAACATTGAAGAACCCTCGGGGAAGAGAGGAAATAGAGATATTCCATCTCCTCAGACAGCAGGGGGGAGAATAGGTGCAATAGGAGTAAAATACAAAAATAAGATGTATCCATAACATCCATACACCAGTGATCCATAATCCATAATGTATACATTTAAATAAAGCTGATGATAATGGTGTAGTAAACAAGAATGGGATATGTTTAACTATGATGTTAATGTGCAACGTAAACATAGGTAGAGGTGAGAAGGAACTGCATAACAAAATCTGAAAACATAATAAAAAGGACATTTGTGTATAAGGTACATGTCCTAAAAAAGGAATGAGTTTCTATATTGTCGTAACAATGCGGTCACAGTGCTACAATAAAAAATGGATCAGTGATGGATAGAAATGATTCCCGGAAGCAATCCCAGAAAGTAACAGAAGATAAACTGATGTACTGTATATTTGCAGTAGATTTTGGTCTCAAATGGGAGTCTACTTCACTGGTTCAGTCAACGGAGGACTGGTCATATTTGGTCTTTGAGATTAGGGTATGCAATGTCCAAGGTTGTGACTGTGACCTTGATTCCGTAGGGATCAGGCAGGTTTAGTGATATGTGTCCTTCAACTAAAGGTAAGGGTTCAAGTCCTAATATCAGCAAGAATTATTATGCTCAAGTGACCTTTAAGAAAGACACTTTAAACCCTATTGGTGAAAATGACGGTTGCTGACTCTGCATTCTGATGTCCCTGGAAGTAGGCAAGCAAATAAAAAAAGAACTTCCTCCGTGCAGATCGATAAAAGGTATCACATTAATGTGTATGAGAGTGTGTGTTGAAGCTAAGTGTATGAGTTGTAATATAACCTCTCCTCAGGGAGGAGTTACAGCCTCAGACAAACAACATGTCTCTTATGGCTTTGTATTACTGTAAATAGGCCCTTGTTCATTTTCTTTCACGTATCCTGCAAAAATTGTTTAGGAAAAGTTAGGGGAGGCAATGATGAGGGTTTGTGAAAGCAGCATCTATTTGAGCTGTCCTCTGGTGGATTGTTAGGTTCAGATAAGGATCAGAGTATGATCAGCTAAAATACGTGACAGGTTTTTTCAATTACAGATTGAGATGATTTTGTGTACCACAGACTCTCTATGACCTCAATTTCAACAGAGCCTCATTTCACCACAAGTGCAATTGTTTTAGAAAAATCAACATGGCAACCTTTACAGGAATTGAAAACATATTTAACTCATTTTTTCCAGACTCAAATTAATTGAGAAGTGATGCAACGGCATAACAAACGTTTTCATCAGTCGTGTTATCGATAAAACTTCTCCTTTCAGATAGAGTAGGTACAAAGAGAGAGTAGAAGTTGGATTTAAACCGGTTTCAGGCAAAGCTGACAATATTGAAATGCCGGACTCAGCTAATTGAAGAAATGTGTTTTATGTGTTGTATCAACAATTTTGACACATTATCAGTTTTAGGAATTAATATTACAAGAGTTGAAGAGGAGAAAAAAACCTGGAGCTTTAATCGAGCATGAATAAAATATATCCAGTATTTTACAGAGGATAAACAACTGAATAAAACCATTGTCAAATGTGTGTGTGTGTGTGTGTGTGTGTGTGTGTGTGTGTGTGTGTGTGTGTGTGTGTGTGTGTGTGTGTGTGTGTGTGTGTGTGTGTGTGTGTGTGTGTGTGTTCAAGGATTATCACACACCTAGCAACCAAGAGGAAAGAGGTTAGGAGGAGTGATCACAACAACAGCATGATACACAGATTACTTACGCAGAAAACAACACATACACATACATACACAAACAAACACTCCTCTGAGCTGCATGGCTACATGTTGTAATATGGACCTGATATTATCAGCTACACAGAGTGAAACAAAAGGACTAAAACCACAACAAATCTAATATTTAGAAATAATTAAAAAGAAACATAACCATTTGTTAGTTACTGTATTTGTCGTCACCTTGTGAATTTTAGTCCAATATCTCACCAACTCATGAGGGAAATAGCTCTTAGCAGTTAAATACTCCTATATGCTGACCAGCTGGTCTCTAACTGTGTCTGTCTGCTGAGTTTTGCTGGGGATGAAGTGTATTTCAGGATTATCAGAGCTTTTTCGCCTAAATAACTGCCTGTTGCAGCCAAAAGTGCTGCTATAGAAAACCAAAAACACAGAAGCATGCAATAAAATTCCATTGAGCTGAGGGAAAATGCAAACTGTCCACATTTAAATCATCTGTAATGCTCCTCAGACTGCAATGCACAACGTTGGCACTCGTTCTCCACAACAAATAAAGCTCACACTTGATTCATTAACTTTTACACTCTAATTAAGCTTAAGCCTGTAAACCACAAGGTGAAGTCTTTAACAACTTGGCGAACCAAAGCATCGAGCAAATACTGGAATAATCTGGGCTTTAACAAACGGCTAAAGTTTGCAAAGTAAAGCCGGTACTGTTTCCCTCTCAAGAGTGCTAAATAAGTTGCATTGCCTCTTGTTATCTGAACTAGGTAGTCAAATGTGAGCACAGGGGGATCTGAGTGGATCCAATGCACTCGCCAAAGTGCTTACGCGGGTTGTGGGGGTGTGGAAGTGTACAGAGTTGTGTTCAATAATTCTTAATGGCTTTTAGCATCAACTGTAATCAGTTGTGACATTCTCTTCATTGAAAATGACCTTGTACTTGTACTGTCGCCGCACGCATTTCATCACTCACCAAATTCACATGCATAACCTGATTGCTAAATTATAGCTCACACTTCTTCTTCTGTTAATTCTGTAGGTCACTGTATGCATATTGTATTTAATGTTCAATTTGTGACAATGCACGCTTCAAGACCATGTGTGCATCACTGTGCTTTTACCCATTGTTCGTAGGTATACGCACATTAACATGGACACTATATAACACGTGTGAGGGTATAGCGTGAGAACATAATGATTGTTATGCAGGCTTTTACATGTATCTGATTTATTCACGTAGCATTTAAAAGCCACATGCATTCATCCACACTGCCATGTGTTACTGTGTTTTTCAATTTCATACGCCCCTACCCACAGGTGTGCTCATTTGATTAACTCTTATGTGTGCATTTATGGATGTATGGAAACATTGATGGGAGTTTTCACACTTCTATGGAGCATCATGAATGCATGTATGAAGCCAGTAAATATAATGAAGCTCTGCATGCCTTTATGTGGATCTGCAGTGCATTTGGATCAGCAGTCTGTCAAATGCCAGTTTGTGTGTGTGTGTGAGTCGGTGTTTGTGTGTGTGTCGGTGTTTGTGTGTGTGGTGAGAACAGCTGCGATATAGAGCCTGTCGCGGGCGTGGGTTAATTAGTGCAGAAGATGATTGTATTATTTGGACGGCCGACCAGCGCCAGGGTTCAAAGTAAAGGGAGGCAGGTGAGCTTGTACGGCCTGCAGCTGCATGTTAAACAACTCAAATGGAATCACAGAAGTCTCGCAAGGGAGGAGGAAGAGTGAAAGAGACAGAGGCGAAAGGAAGGGAAGGTGAGAAGAAAAAAAAAGAACAGGAATAAAATAAGAGTAGTAGGCCAGGAAGGGACAATGGTAAGAAACCAGTTGGACACAATTTTCAACTAAATTCTACATCATGCAATGTTTGTGTGTGCCAATTAAACCATTGCCAATGTTCTCAACAAATTGATAACAGTTAAATGCGCATCACTGTCGAGGGAAATGTAGAGAAGTGCTACATGACAATGCTGTCCTGCAGGCTACATTGAGAAAGTGAACTAAACTATGGACATACCTTAAGCTAACTACTACTATATATATAATACTAGCTAATACAGTCATCTAATATCTATAACTAAGACCCTAAAGGTGCGTTCAGGTGCACTGGAAAGAGAAATCTGGTGTATTTGTATTGGATGCAAAATGGACTGTAATGTAGCAATTACAGTCCGTTTCTTGAGACACATGTGTCACTGCACATTTGGCATACATGTGCAGTACCGTGATCATCATAGTGAACTATGATCATCAGCCATGTAACTGCGCTGGATGTCCCTTAAGCTTAAGAGAGTCTCTCTCTGTGGATGCAATGTTCAAATTTCTCGATTCTCAAGATTATTTCATTCTCTTTGCGCTGTATCTGAGCACACCTTAGTATAGATCAAGTCTTGTGTACCTGCTTTGACTTTATGGTTGGTGTTGGGAAGCAGCACGGACATCCACATGATGCGTATGCAGTAACATTGCATTAGAACACAAGTTACACGCATCTCAGTAGGACAGTAGACATCTCAGTAAGTAACTAAACATTGCACCTCACCTCTGTCTGCTTTATAACAAAATCTCTCATCACAGTTAATGATAAACAAACCGATTTGAGGAACTCTAAAGCATGCAATGATGCCGAGTCGCTGTGAGTGAGTGGGTGCACTGGTGATAAACACTCTACCTGTTCTGGCTGGTTGGCATTGGACAGTGGTGTAACCATCCAGATGATGTTGAGGTTGTTGAGGGCAGCGCTGGTGGTGAACGAGCAGGGCAGGACTGCTGCTTGGCCGCGGGCCACCTGGATACTGCTCTGGGCCACCGTCACATCCAGCGCCCGCACACACACTGCAGGAGGAAGGAGGCGGTGATAATCAGTGTCTTGATACAGCATAAATAAGCACACACGGCACCAACGTGCAAACAAGGAAAACAACAGGACAGAATGAGATCGAAATGTAGCATAACAACTCCCACTGGATGGATCTTACACAATCGTTCCTATCATATTTTTTCGCTGTAATAGAAAGTATTCAGTCCTCCTTAAGGCTATTTGAGTCCTCTATAACAAGTGTAATAGAAAAAAAATGCGTTTAATAGGTCAAAGATAAATAAGTAAGACACAGACAGAGATGGTGATGTGTATAAATACCCATGTACACGCAAAGGTTTAATATTTTAAAAAGGGAAAAGTCATGTGTAAGTCTCATTGAATCCAATTTCCACCACCTTTACAACAAAACTACAGATTTCTGAACCAAACTCCTCTTTTAAAATGCTCTCATCAGCTAAACAAACCTCTAGACCACATTCTGAAGGGATCAAATTAAATATGTAAAAGTTTAATGGGGAAACACGATAGGCTGTCTCCTGAGTTATTAATTTCCCTAAAACAACTTGCTTCTTGCTAATTTCATGGGAACGCAGTGTGTATCAATACATACTAAATGAACATGACAAGTGGGAATAGTAATGGTTATTTCTGGTATTATGTGCCGCTTCCTGTGCACACAGCATACTAAACAACCATGATAGCTTGTTTTCTTTCCATGCAACAAATGTATATGTT